ATATATATATATATTTGATACATATTTGATACATATTTTCTACCATTTTGATGTAAAGGTAAACTAAAATTTTTACCATGTATATAGTCACAATTTTTATTTCCTTTTCCACTGTTATTGTTTTATTAATTTTTTCATTTGTTTTTTGTTTACTGAAAACGGATATTTTCACGCACTTTTAAATCAATTTAATGGCTTCATTGCAAAAACATTTTGCTTTATGTTTGTTTTATGTTTTGTTTTGTTGTTAACATAAATGCAGCATGTTTCAGTAATGACAAATAGGTTTAATAATAAATTAAAATTTCCTTAATAAGTTATAAAAAGAAATTACAAGCTGTTAAAACTCCAAATAAGTTTTAATAAACCAAACATTTTTTTTTCATCCAAACGAACAAATAATCTAATGAATTGTAAAAATGTTATGCCACTCAAATTACGATATACATTTTAAAGAAAATGATTTCTTAAAAGTACAACTGATTATATTTAAAATATTTAAATAATCGTTGTGAAAATTCCAGTAACTCCAATAAAATATTAAAATGATTGCACATTTTATATGTTTTATTTAGTGAAGCACTTGTAAAAAAGATTTTTTATCTAAAAAAAAGTTTTATTTTTAATTAAATGTATCATTAATTTGTTTTAAAGGATAATTTTCCCACTTACCATATCATTCGAAACCCAAATAAAAGTCTGTGTAAACTCATGGGTGTAAACTCGAGTTGTGTTGTAATTCCAATGTTAGTAAATACTTAGGGAAACTAGAAAGTAATGACGCTTTGGCGCATTCAATATTCGTTAGACTAAGATTCGTTAGACTTAGATTCGTTAGACTAGATTCGTTGGACGATCCGGAATTGAAGAGTTGTTGATAACGAGAGTGAATGCATTTTTCATTAAAAATAAAATATTGGTAACAAATATCAAGTGCACCGAAACGACAATATTTTTCGGTCCTCCCAATATTTCATTAATTTAAAAGTTGTTCAATCCAGATGGACGGAAGCAACCCACTTAAGTATTACAGTACTGACATTCATACTAGAATATGCATTGATTGATTGTCTGAAATCCAAAGTTGATGATTACGTGATGTTCTTGTTAAGTTATTAAATAGGTTTTCTGAAGGGTCATCTGAAATGAGGCACACAAAACGATAAACAAGCTCATATTGTTATTTTAATATATCTTATTGTGATTTTAATATATGTGATTTTTATATAATCTAAACTCTGCTTATCATACTAGTGTCCAGAGGAAGAACGTTTCACGCAAGGGGAGCGTTTTCTTTATCCATGGTCAAAAAAACTATAATAGTCGATCTAAAAAAATGGGTGCATAGTTGTAAACTAAGTGTATTCTATAATTTAGAGAAATGCGAAATGTGGAGAATATTTGTTACCATATTTTCTGTAATTCTTTTAGAGTAATTTTTGACTGTGAAAAAATGATAAAACTTAAAATAAGAGCTTAAATAAAGTTAAAATGAAAAATAATAATAAGAAACATAAAAGAACTTAAATAAAGTACTCGATTATTCTGCAAACGTAACAAGTAAAATAACCCAAGCAATGGATAAAATTAATATTTAAAGGTCACGGAAAGTGTGATTCAATAACACTCTGCAGTAAAATATCCATTTTACTTCATCAATAATCTTTCGATGCATTTTGAATGCCGAGTTTACTTATGTAAAAAAAAATTTACCCTCTAATCGAATTAAAAGCTCTAAAAATATTTGACAACAAATATGGAAGACATTATGCTATTTTGATTCTTTGGAATCGTATATCTTTGAATTCATGAATGACGCTGTAATAGAATTTGTGAAACATAATCCAACGTTAATCATATGTTTAAAAAAAGTGAGAAGTTTTTGTACCCAAACATAATCTCAATTCTATTCATAACCCACAAGATTTTTAAATATATTGCTATTTATTATAAATACAATATTCTTCAAATCTTACTCTTATGAATAGTAAATAAGACTATTAAAGGATACAAGTTTTATTATTCAAAATATCTATTAGCACGTATAAATTACAATCGCAGATAACATTACCTAATATTTTCTTTTTTCAAAAAAAAATTTTTTCTTTGAAGTTCGTTTTTTTTTATAAAAAAGGTTGTTTCAACTTAGAATTAGTTGATATTTGACGGAAATAACGTACAAAGTTTTAATTTCCTTATTTCAATAAATTTTTCTGCTTACTTACATACATTCTTTATTGCTAATCTGATTTTTATTGCTAAGCAAGGCACAATAAAAAAAAACTAAAAAATATAATTTATTTATTCGATATACTACTTCCAATTTTGAATATATATATATATATATTTGATACATATTTTTTTGATAAGGGAAAATTTNTTAATTTGTATTTTTTTTCCAGTAATAAATGTTTATTTTGCTTTATATATATATATATATATATATATATTATTAGTTCATTTTTTCATATGTAAGCATTTTCTATGTTATTTTATTGACACACAAAAGGTGTACCTTTTCCAATGTTAAGGAATTTCTATGCCATGTTTATTGGTTCTAATTATTGTTTGTTTGTTTCGCGGAAAAAGGAACAGCGCTTTTTATCTAGCAGTTAGGGAGAGAAAGTGATAAAGTTCTTTTAACACATTTTTCCGATTTCGCATGTAGTATATTCTATGGGCCGAAAAAAATTATTGTTGTCAGTTATTTACCATTATGCTTATACGACGCCATTTTTTTACTAGCTCAGTATTACTGATTCTATGGACCGACAAGTTGCAAAGAGTGGATTTTAAAAAAAAAATTGGTATTATATATCTTAAATCCCTACTTCCGAAAATGTTTGTAAAAATATGTTTATTTTTGTAAAATTAAATTCTGTTACTTCGACGTAATTTGTTTCTTCCCAAATATATCATTGCATGATCTTGTAAAAATTATTCCCCTGATATTAACAGCAGTAGACAATACTACAAAGAATCATTATATTGAATTTTGAAAAGATATTCTCGTACAGATATTTATTCTTTGTATGTAAAATTTCATAAGACTTTGAATTATTTTCAGTCTTAGTATCGATTTTATCCTAAAAATAAAATAATAAAAATAATAATAGAAAAATGCAGCATTGCTTAATAACTACTAGCGTAAATAGAAATTTATATTTTAAGTCATTTTTATAAATTATCATATGAACAGCTAATGATTTTTACTCGAATATTTGAAAGACGTTTTGCAGAGATAGACGAAAGATAAATTATCCATTGTTTTTACTTTTATCTATAATTATTATCATAAACTAAAATCTTTACAACCTAATACTGTATTTCTAATTTCTACTGTGTGTTAGGTAAAAAACCGAGTACCTGAACGATCCAGTTTTTAATCGATTGATCTTTTTTCGATAGATCATTCGCATTCTGACTACTTGTTGTGTTCTTTCATTTGTTTTGAAATTAATTCAAAATTTATTTAAAATGCAGAGTATAATCAGTTTTTTCAGTTAACACCAGTGACGTTATGAAACCAAATAGGATTTTTTTCCCTTAATAATTGTATGCAATAGAAAATTTATCACAACGAAGATAAGTAGAAAATAGTTTTCGTTTGTAATTTAAGAAATAGTACTTTTGGTAATTTAAAGAATAGTTTTTTCTTAAATTTAGTAAAACTTAAGATTTTTATTCCACATATCTTTTCCGATGAGTGAATTATTAACTCAAGAGATTCACATTCACAATTTGAAAGTTGCGTTTCTCGTTTCTAGATAAAATATCATTAAATTTTATTTTTTCATTTGAGCTTCCCAGTTCATATCTTCTAGATATTATTATTGATTATATTGTTCTTGTTTTTTTTTGGTACTCAATTTAACTTTTTCGTTACGTTTTCCCCAGAAAGCGAGTTGCAATAAAACAGTTTTGATTTACATCCTTTCAGTAAGAATTAATTACTTATGTCAATGCATTTAATTTTTAAATAAGGTCAATTACTAAAGTAATTTAAGTTTTACTCAATTAAAGCAATAATTAAAACGTCAGTAATTAACTCATTCTTAGTCATACTATACCAGTTTAAAACACAAATAATTTTAAATAAACAAATTTGCGAATTTTAATTAATATCACTATAAACCTTAAAATATTTCTTATCTTAAAGTTCCAAAAATAATTATAGGGATTAAAGTTCCATCATCATTTGTTTTAACTTTAATTAACGTTAATATTTTTTTATTTATAATTTATTTTATTTCAATCATCTGGGAAACATATATTTATTACTTACAACTGCATGCAATGAATACATTTATGCTAATTTTTCAAATCCAAAGACAATACATTTAAAAATGTGTTTACGCTTTTTCCCTAAAGAAAGAGAACGAAATTTCATTTGTTTTGAAAGAAAATTTATAGTAGTTGGAATAGGAAATAAATCGATGCAATAACTCTTTTTATGCACATTGCGGTGGAATTGAATGAAAGAGATGTTTGCTCACATTGAGCTTAGTCTAAAGTAAGTTGAACTTTCAAATCTCTGGGGATAATATATGAATCAATTTTCATTTTAGTTTATCCGTTTGAAGAATAATAAAGATTTCTCTTTTAAAGAAAACTGTTTCCGAATTGAAAAGATATTTCTATATGAAAAAAAAACTGTGTATCGAAAGTTAATACATTATGCATTCATTTTTAATGTGAAATGTGTGTATTACTTAATTTAGATTCGAAAGGAAATTTGAAAGTTTTAGAAGCTTTTTGACGAATTTGACCAGGTTACTAAATAACACGCATTTTAACAAAAAAAAATGTCTTCTAAAGAGGATGTCTTCAAAAAAATGTCTTCTACCAAGCGACGTTGTAAGTACATTTTCTATTGACTAAGAATCCACATAGAGCATTCTTTAAAAAAAAATATTAATTGATATTTTTGAAAAAAATGCGTTTTTTTCTATTTATTTTTCTTTAACACGTTGAATGCCACACTAATTTTACATGGATTGCCCGTCTTTCCAAACGGTAAATAACTGCAAACTAAATTTGCAAATATTAAACAGATTCTGCTAATTTTTTAAAAGGTTTAGCATGACATATCTGAAAAAAGTGCTGAATTATATAAGCCTACCAATTGTTTAAAAATAGTGGAAGATAAAAATCTACTTAATTGAATTTATTAAAAAAAATCATAATTAATAAACTACCACTTGAAAATATTTATTCACTGTCGGGAGCAAGTTGACATCACTGCGTATATAAATAAAAATATTTTTGTGTGTTTTATATTGCATTAATTTCTTCAATCCATTTTAGTAACAATAATAATAATTAAAAAAATTTAAAATTTACTCGAATTATGTGTTTCTAATAATCTTGGCTTCACCGGTCATCGTTGACCAGAATGGCGCTGCAAACAAACTCAGTGCGGGTCACCGGTGACCCCGTGGCATTCAACGTGTTAAAATTTGTTTTTTAACATTATTTTTCAATTTATTTTAAACTTGTTTTATGATTTTAAATTTAAAAGTTTATTTACTTATGAAAACTTCAAATTTCAATTTTTTAAACTTTTTTTTAAAAAAACAGACTTAGCGAAAATATTTTTCGCAACTTTTGCAAAATATAATAGTTCTTTTGGGAGAAGTTTTTATTTAAGTTTTTTCTTTCCTGTTTGAATAAACATCTAGGAGTTTTCATATCATCCAGTAATTCGTCAAAAAAAAATCAGTGATTTATTTAACACGTTTTTTCATACTTATATAGTAATAACGAATGATAACGAATGATTAGTGATAACGAATAATTATAAACGATTGCAAATAATTAATAAATATAAAATTCTCCATAAAATATTTAACTGTATGACACTTGATATTTCAAAGTGTTTAAATTAAAGTTTACCATAAAAATTGCTTAAAAATAAATTAATTAAGATAAACTTATAAAAGTATTTTTTATTGATGTATTCAGCATTATTTGGCTCATAATACTAACTATATATCAGATATTTAAATTTCTTTGCTCAGGTTTAAATATTTTTACATTACTAAAAACTGTAAGAAATATAAATGGAAATATATAAATTAATATGCATTATTTTATTGTTGCCAAAATTATTTTCTGTTTCGTTAAATAAGAATAAAAAAATTAAAATTCTAAATTTTGAAATTTTTCAAGAAAGGAAGCAATTCAATTTTTTTATTTTAAACAATAATTCAAGCATTTTCATCTGCATTTATACAGTAAAAATTATTCTTTTCAAAACCAATATAAAAATTTTAGCAAATGTGATTTGATTTTGAAAAAAGTAGCATTGTAAAATCTTTACTTAAAATTTCCAGAAAATTATACGTTTTTCTCCATTGTGCAATTCAAAGAGTTGTGTATTTATCGAAAGTATAGCATTAAATATAATAAGAAGGGATATATTAGGAGAAAGAAATAATTATATATAAACATGTGAAATCGGTTAAATTAATGCACAATGCTGAATTAAAAAAATAACTATATTTCTAATTACGTTATTTTTAATTACGTATTAAAATAACATTTAAGCAGTATTATACTAAATTGAATTACTTTTGTATTTAATTTATTTCTATCAATATTACCAGTCTATTGCTCACTATTACTCACCATCCTCGGAACAGTTTCTTTCTGATTGCTTCATAACTCTTGATTGCTCACTCACTATGTACACAAATACATCCCTAATATATCCCTTACTCACTATATACACAATTATGCCACTCACTCACTATATACACAAGTATACATTTTTGTATCTGGTGCTATTTAATATTTGAGCAAGCTGATGATATTTAAGAAAGCTGACATTCTGTTACATAGCAAAAATCTTGTATACCATTCTTGTATAGACTGATAGTCTTGTTCAGTTTAAGATACATACTCGTACATAGACCTACAAATTTATACCTCCTAAGTATTTTAAAGCAGTAATATGTACTAGAGCTTAAGAAGATATTGATATTTTTGTACACAAATAAAGTGAACTTATAAGACAAGTATAAATAATCTAATGTGCATGTTTTACTTAAAAAAATATTTACAAGCTAATGCTTCAATATTTTATTATTAGTAACTAAGGTTAGCTTTTGAGATTTAAAATCAGAGTTCTTTTTGTTAATTAATATTTAAGAATATGCTATGGTGATTTGTTGTAGCAAAACTCATTGCTCAAATTTTTTTTTCTATTCATTTCAGTTGTAATTAAAACCAGTTCAATAAAAATAGTTAATGTATAATCTGTATTGTGAAAGGATAACTTAATGTTAAAATAATTTAATAATTCAATAAAATACAACTTCTGCTTCTTAATAAGTTGTATAAGAATCTACAGATATTAATGTCACCTCTCTTTTGTGTGTTTGACTTAATGTTGCATTTGTTTTGCCGCGCGAAAACTAGTAGACTTAAAAAACTGAAATTACGAATGCGTGCTGAGAATTTTGGAAAGAAAATATGGAATGAAAAAAAATAACATGTAATGATTAGTGAGTAAATTAATTATTGTTAATTCTGTAGAAAAAAATACCATAGGGGAACTGCACAGGCTAACGAAATAAATAGCATAGTTGGCATTTGACTCCTTGATTGGAGCGTCTTTCTTTAAGAAAATACAGGCTTTTTTTTCGTTTTCAAAATGTCAATTTTTGATGCTATTTTTGTAATTTTCTTTCTTTTTTTCTGCTTTACGTTATTTTTTTAGGCAGAACCGTAAGACATAAAAGCTTAAAATTACGAAGGTGTATAGACAGGTGCGAAAAGAGTACGATGGGATAAAAAAATTAAAAATTTGATTATTACTTCGAGCATTCCTTATAGTAAAAGTATACCGTGCTTGCCGATCTACAGCATGCTGAAATGAAGCAACAGAAATGAGCATAGGCAAGCTGAAAGAGCCCTCTCAATTTAGGAACTAAGTGCAAGTTTTTTTTATTCTAGTTTGTTTGAAAGTTATTGCAATTTTAAATGCTATTTTTGCAACCTTTTCTCTCCTTATACTTTAAATAATGACTAGTTAACCGTTGTTGGAGAAGCTTTATCATTGTGGTTATCTTTATTGTACAGCTCCAAGATCATGTCAAGCTATACAAAACTGTAAAGGAATATTATTAAAAAATAATAAAAAAATATGAGAGTGAAAGGTTAGATGTTACCAGATATATATTTTAACATTTATTCCGAAATGTTTGCAAAATTTGAGCTTAAATTTGAAAGCTTTTAAAAAGTTCACCTAACTTTTGAGTGATTTTTTGTCTGGAATAACTGAAATATATAAATGATTGGTTTTCAAAAAAGTTTCAAAGAAAGATAAAGTCACAAAACTTATCATAAAATGTGAAAAATATATCATTTATTCAATCTTTGTAAAAAATGGGAGACATCAAGGTTTTAATATCCATATTTTTTAACATAAATAACATACAAATATTCAGTCCAACATTGAATGTTTAAGCAACTAGGATCTCAACAAATACTGTAAATTGGCATAAATTGAGCACCACTTTTAACTTTTCTGTATAAATAATAGCTCTCATTTTATAAGCAGTCCAATCCAATTCCATCCGGCGAAGAATATTTAATTTCCTAAAACATTTAAATAAAGTTATAAACTTGAAAATATAGTTTTTTGATAGATCAATCAAAATGAGAATACAAAATAGCATATAAATTGCGAAAAAGATAAAGCTTCAAAAGACGTGATTTTTTTTTATCAGATAAATAAAATACGGTTTATAATGATTCTTAAAAGCATATTGGAAAGTTTTGCTTTCAGAGAAATTTCACTCTCATGGGATTTGATTTCTGTTTATTTTCCTTCAAAAAGTTTTTTGACTACATCAAAATGTACTTTAACTATTTCTCTTTCGAATTTTAAAATCACTCAAAAAAAGATATAGTATTGCTTTTTTATGCGTGAAAAAATGAATCTTAAACCTTTTAAGTGATTAAAAATACTGATGTTCTTTAAAGAAATTTGTTGTAGAAACAGTTCAGAAATAGTTGTTACAGAAATAGTTCATAAGCAGCAGTAGCAATCTATCGATATGCTATGTAATTCTCTTAAACCTATTATTGCACATAATAAATATATTGGATATATTTACATTAAATTCTGAATATTGGTAATGCATTATGTGAACAAGTCCTATTCAATTTCACTTCACTAACATCAATAGAGACTCCCCATTGAGAAACGCCGTACCTCATTAGAATCCCATAAATAATGAAATATTTACTTTTGCATTTAAATCGGGAAATTTCTTAGTAACTAAATAGATAAATTTCTTACGTAGAAACATTATATATATATATATATGATAAAAGGCACAAAATTTAGACCCATTTACCATATATCTATCAATAAAATTCTAAGATACTTTCGTGATGATCTCAATAGTTTTTGTTTAAAGATATCAAATAGATTCTCTTTACCTTTAGGTATGCTAACAGAATGGAAATGGGGTGTTTATTATTACTTTAAAAACTAATTTTCAATAATAAGGATAATTTAAATAAGAGTAACAATTCAACAAATTTTTCTAATATTGTTCAATCAATTAAGCAACTTCAAAAAAATTTTGTAATTACTCCCATAGACAAAGCTAACAATAATTATGCTATATTCTGTAAAAAATTCTGTTCTGAACTTTTAAATACGGAATTAAAAAATAGCAAAAATTTTAAACTTAGTAATTTCAATAATAATATTGTCATTAAGAGAATTTTAGCTTTATACAAGGGATTAAAAATTAAAATTAGCAATGTACAATTTCCTTACTTAATTATCAGTCCTAAATATCATAAAATTCCAGTAAAATTTAGAATTATCACATGTGGGTCCAATACTTATTTCTCTAACTTCATTTCTCTAACTTCTTAAATAAGATTATTAACAATATTACTAAAGCAAGTTTCTCTTGGATTATCACTAATATAAAAACGATTTTATATTTCATTAAACATAATAAAATTAATTCTATTGCGACTTTTGATTTCCAGGATCTTTTCAATAGCATTCCTCTTTCTAAATTAAAAAATGTTCTATGATTTTAAAAATATCCTTTGTTGCGATTTTGATTATTGGGAAATTCTGAATAATTTTTGTCTTTTTAGTAATTATCTTTACAATGGAAAGGATATTCTTCTTCAAATTAATGGAATGCCACGAGGATCTAATTATTCATTTCTCTTAGCTAACTTATTTTTGCATTATTATGAAAAAAATTATACTCTTAGTATTAAATTTGTTTTTAGATGTATTGATGACTTAATTATCTTTAATTTCCAAGATTTTACTATTTTATTGAGTGATATATACCCTGAGGAATTAATCTTACTTCGTAATTAGGATGATACTATTATTGTAATGATAATATTATTGTAATCATGATGATAATAATGATTTATTGAATTGTTTTTTTTTATCTTAAATGCTACTTTTTATTTAACAACAATGCAATGTGAACAAAGTGACAAATCTGGTAAAACAGAGATTTTCTTCTAAGATTATTTACATTTAAAAAAATTTTAATCGATGTAAATTTAACTTAAATTCTGTAATAAAAATATCAACTAAGGAAGATAAAATTTTTAAGACATTAAGAAAATATTAGCTCTGTTAAGTTCGAATATCTGATTCTCGCATATTAAAAAATTAAATAGTAGATAAATCGTAAACAATGAGGCTACTACACAGAAAAATGTATATACGTAAAACGTCATTACCTCTTTTAAATTTTGTTTTTCTTACGACATAGACTGGGAAATCAATTATTTTTATCATTATGGGAATAATAATAGGTAGACTTTATCGAAAACAACAAATCGATTTTTTCATTTGATCTGTCTGGAAAGTCAAAGACCACTGAAAAAAAATTACTTTTAAATACTTATTATTTTCTTCGTCACGTAAGTGATATTTCTGAAAAGTTCAGAGAGTTCTTTGTTCTTTGCCTGGCTTATTGAAATGTCATCTTGACTTACTTGCAATATCATATATGATTCAATTTTTGATTTTTAAAACTTTCATAACAATTACTTTTTTTGATTTATTCATGCTTTATTTATAGTAAAGAGAAATAATGAAATAAATGAATAAATAGAAAAAAGTATTATTTTCTTAAGCTTCTTCCAAGAAGTTTGATAATTCTTTACAATATTTTCTAATTCAAAGTAATTACAATAAAATTATACAACTACTTTATCTCTGACTAAAGGAATTTTTGTTCCAATTTTATCCACAAACATCTTAGAATATAGTTGTAAATGTCGATGCTCAACTTATCACACACCCCTTTAAAAATATTTACGTAGGCTGTTTCTATTTTAGAAAACCATTACAAAAACTTTTTTTTTAAACTTCAGACGTCAGAGCTTTTACTTTGCTTTCTTGCTTTTCTTGTCAAGATGTAGCGTAATACTAACAAAGCTTATATATATATATATNATCGAAAACCTACACAGGCTTGGAAGTTTCTCAAAAATTGTCACCAGTTTCTGATAAAATGCAAACTAATTTTAATTTTTTGAAATTTTTTTCTAACTCAAATAATATATTAAACTTTTTAACATAAATAAGGTTTAGCTTTAGTTTCTGTAATAGTAATTTTTGTATATTTATAAAAGTGTTATAAAAGTGAAGGGAAATAACTTAAAAAGTAGTATTACATTTATTTTATAAGACTTAGAGCAGAGAGGCATCTTTATTTGTTTTTATAACTTCCTAAAAGTTATTATTATTATTTTTTAAATTACTTCAATCTTTTTGAAACGTTAATATTTTAAAAATGATTTTATCAACTTCCATTATATAGTTCATTTTCATATTAACTAATATTTTCCTATATTTGAGTTCTAATGCAATCCTTGTTTGAATAATCTGACGGCAAAAAAAATCAATAAATAACGCACCCAACTTGAATATATTTATTTTTTTCACTATGTTTTAAGAATATAAACATCTCGATTATGTAGTTAGATTAAAATTAGTACATAAATGAAAAACAAATGTAGGAAAATAACAATTAAAAGTTTACTTATTATCATGTCTACACAGGCTTAAATTTGCTAATTGAACGATAATTTTAATGGTAGAAAGTAACAGATTTACCTTTAGGAGTTGTGCTACTTTTCAAAATCCAATCATAATTTGTCATCCATTTCAAGTGGCCAAGGAATGCATTCCAACTCCTCTCACTTAATGAACAAAGTATGTGACGACACTGCAGTGTGGGCAGATTGTTTTTGAGATGTAAGACAAATAGGGCTATACAGAAGACGTTCATCACAGTTTAGTGTTATAATTAAACAGAGTCAGTTCGATATCCTTTATCACCCTAAAAATAAATATATTAAATACAGAGGTGCTTGAATTTAAGAGTGTTTTTGTATTTGGACAATTATCTCCCAAAGCACTGGATAGATTTTAATAAACTCTGGTGTGAATAAAATAATATTTGAACCGTTTCAATATATATGCATGATCACACGTAATTCTCTTTGAAATTGGAGGACGTACTAAAGTTTACACAAAAGTGAATGTAAGAAGATGGGATGATAGAGAGTATGAAGCTCTTTTATAGATATATAGCACTAACAACCAGATTTCATCTGGAAATAAAACAGTTCAGAAGTCCCTGTGGCAATTGTTTCCATCTTCTTGCCAATGTTGTTACCTTGGTGTATATAGATTTCAGTGAGGTATTACGAGTTTCAATTACTATTCCAAGAAAGTCTTAGTCATGTTCTATCAGACTGAACTGACAAATGTTCACACTTTTTAAGAAAATCATCATAAAATGAGATTTATGTATTGGTACGTCGTCATCTATTTGATATGAATTCATGGCCTAATGCATCAGCGAGAGGAAAAACAGTGTTTCAAGATTATTTTATTCTATTTCGAAGAAATGAAAGGACGTGCAGCTATTCATTGAGAAGCCTATGCTAATCGTCATAACTTTGCTGACAAAATTATTAATTACACGGATATGAGAGAAAGGATTCTCTTACGAAATTACGGTGTTTTTGTTGCTAATTTAAAGTTATTTTAATGTGTTACGGTCGATTAATTAAGGTGTAGAAAGTTGTTTTATTTACACTTTTGAGGCTATTGTGAGGTTGATAGAAAATAACCTTAGAGCAACGAGCGATAAGAGATTGTTTTTGAAGTGTACAGGTTATTTCGTAATCTTTAAGCAAATAAGTATCTTTAAAGTTACAATACTTTCATTCGATTTCAACTAAAAATATTGCTGAACTATATATGAGGTGTAAATAAGGTTAAAATTGATGAGAATATTTTTAGCTCAAACATAACCTAATTTTCAACCTTGTATTTTTTACACCTGTCAACCACAAAACACCTTCATAGCACCTTTTTTGTAAAGGTAAAGCATGCTTGTTTCTCAGCGCATTGGATTATGAAACAATTGAATCTTTGTCTTGAAATATCCCACTATTATGACAGCACACGTTTGATAGCTTGGTCGGTTAACTTGTTGAATAACCACACTGTCCTCTATATGTTTGCACTTTGAGTAGTTTGAATTTTATGGTTAATTTTATAGATCCCACTGACCACTTCTTAGATTCTTAATTTTGACTCCGATGAGTGCTACGTACGATCATACGCATGTATTGTAATAATAAAACTATATTTTACTAGCTTATGTTCTTATTAAAATCGGCTCAGTAGTTCAATATATAATTATACTGATTTTGATTATCAGTATAATTTTGAATTTAAAATAGCACCACAACTTTTAGTTCATTTAAAATAAACATCTTACGTCTTGTGAAAAGTTATATTATTTTATTATATGCTTATTTATTAATGTTTACTTAAAATTTTATCATTATAAATGATATTGATTAAAAAGATTTATACATCGATTTTATACAGGGAGATGTGTTATATACAGGAAGGTGTGTCCTTTTGAAAGAAAGCTACATTGACTGGATGATGCAACTGGACACTAATAAAGCTACGGTAAGTCAAACATACTCGTAAAATTGTTAACATACAAATGCATGTTTACAGGAAGGAACTAACTTTTCTATCCCATATGGAGCCTAAAAAATGAATAAATTAAAAAGGTTAAAAAGGAGTAAAGATGACACTTATAATCCAACTAACTATCCGTTTTTAATGTATTTATATTAGACTCTCATGACCATAAATTAAAGTTAATTCAGAATCCCACGGAAATTGAAGTCGAAGCAAAACTTTAATATTTAGAATTATCACACGCATCTTTATGAATACATACATGAAATGTAATATGCAAATTACAGGAAGCCACCAGATGACTCTGATGGCATGTCACGATGACGACAGTATAAGAGAGGGAACTGTAAGAATTAGGGGCAAGGAATTAAAAAGGTTTATAGAACGCTGTTCAGACCTAATCAAATACACTATATCTATAATCAAATACACTATACAAATAACTATCCGGACACCCCTAAAAAAGTGGTTCTGGCGGATGACGCCACTTGACTTGATGCATAATCGAAAGCTACAAAAGTGTTAGTAGTTGTTTGTCAGGTTGTATTTATGCTTTTGTGAGGCAATGAATACGTCAAAGGAGCTTAGTGAGTTTGATCGTGGCTGTAAAGTGTAATGCCATCTTTGTGAGAAATCAGCTCGTGAGATTGCGGATATTCTACAGAAGCTTAAATTCACTCTGAGTGATATAATTGTGAAGTGGAAACGTCGAAGCAGTGAAAATGCAGAAAAAAAAGGCTTAGTGAACGCAGTCACAGAATTCTGAAAAGGGTAGGGAAACAAAATCGCAAAATATCAGGAGCTCCAAAGTTCATCAAACTTTAGTGTTAGCAGCAGGTATGTTAGTCGGGAGTAAAAACACTTGGGATTCCATTTTCGTGCAGCCGCGCATCAGCCAAACAACACTCCACATAGCATGCAAAGCATTGACTGCTATGGTGCAATCATTTTTCTGTGGACACGGGGAAAACTGTTCTTTGGAGTGATGAATCTCAATTTACACTTTGTCAGTGAGATGAACGCGTCTGGGTTTGGCCGATGCCCTTCGAGCGTCGTTTTTTAGTGACTGTATTGGTTTTGCCTGGGTCCGTTAGTTCCTGTGGTTAGAAACATGAGCTTTGAGATATGTGTGCACATTTTGGATAATGCTGCACTCCCAAATCTATGGAAATATTTCGGGGAAACCCCATTTTTCTTCCAACAGGATAACTGTCCCTACCACAAGCATCACTCACTTCAGCTGTGATGGAAGCCAATCCCAAAACGTTTTTCTCAGACGTGTGTAGGCAGTCATTGTTGTAAAAGGGGGGCCAGCATCTTATTAATACGTGTATTAGCGCGCTTTAAGTCTATACCATTAGATGCCCTGGTACTTTAATCGAGATAGTGTAGTAATGACGCAAGGAACGCAAATGGATGATTTCTTACAGTACAGGTTAAATCTGGTTTACAACGTCGAACTAAGACCAGTATTTAGCATTAACTGCTACTAGGAGCTACACTGCATCCGACAACTACTGAAACTACAGTTTTTTTAAAAATAAATCTATAAAAGTAGCTCAACAGCAGATCCAATTTTCGGGTTTACGACTACTAATGTTCAACTCCATAGCCTTGTAATTTTGAACCCAATCCAGAAGACAAGGGTACTCCTGGTTCATGTATTGGGAGAAATTTGCTTTCGTGGAGGACTTTTGGATGGAACTATTATTTGCGCTGCATGGAGATGAAGACCACGTGAACCTCCTACGGTTAGCCTGACGGCAAGGGGGCTCTAACCCATGATCCATCTACCACTGAGGATATTTTACTTTATCACTTAATCTGTGGAGCCTGGTGCGGAATTCGTATTGACCAGCCAACGCCGGGATCGAACCCCGGTTCACCTCATTGGAAGGTGAACGCTCTATCCCCTGAGCCATCGTGGCACAGTTTACTACAGTTTAAAAAAATTTACAGATGTTTAGGAAATGTGGGCCGATATACCCGCAGGCGTGACAGATGTATTCCGCTCGTTGCAACACACTATCACCAGCGATTACCGTGGAGTAGAGATCCTGTAATGTAAGCACCCTTACAGTGTCCTGCCTTGTGTGATGTTTTCTGACGAGTACATGTTTAGCTTGCAGGCTGATTCACACTGGACTAACATATGGAAAAAGCCTGGCGCTTATTACCATCAAGATGATTGTGCAAGATTGCACGTTTGCTGATGAATTATATCGGTCTCCAGAATTAGAAATCAATTCAAATCCGAACTATGCAAGGGACATTTCAAGGAAATTCTCTTGGAATAAACATGCCCGTGCTTATGCATTATTGACTTATGAATAACAATTTTCGTCCTCACCAAGAAAACATCCTAAATGAATGCCTTTAGTCTGAAAATATGACCCAAATTCAATTGCCAGCTTTGTCACCTAACTTGCATCCGATAGAGCATATATGTGGCATGTTTGGCAATCAATTACTGGTCTACCATCTCTTACAATAGTACCAGAACTTCGGATAGCATTGATTGCTGAATAGAATAGTCTTATCTAAGATTAGCTCGGTAATTTGATACTCAGCATGCCCAGGCGTTGTACGGATGGTATCCAATCGAAAAGGGAGACATACGATGTATTAACCATTTCTTATAATTACAAAAAAATGATAGTATGTATTTGCAAAGGAGGTAGATATTTAAATGTATATGGAGCAATAATTGTAGCTTTATGAACAGTATCATACATACACCATCTCTTTTTTTTATTTCTTGTTAATAATTGGGCTTTATGAATCAGTCACGTTTGTGTTGTTTCTGATTCTTTAATTGCCAACTTACTCATCAAGCCCATTTAATAACACGAACAAAAAAAAATGGAGTATGTATGATACCATTAATAAAAAAACGACTTTAGTTCCTTTTAGCAATTATAAAAATATTCTCCTTTACAAAAACTTTTATTGCATAGTTTCATAATGGTTGATTTATTGCATGTCTCAAACACGATGAAATAAAGTCTTTACAATGGCTTTACATGATCAGTACCAAATAAATGAGTAGTTCTCGTGAAAGATTACTCCATTCAGCAAAGCAATGTTATCCGAAGTCTCTTTACATTTATTGGAGATGGTTGACGAGCTGAAACTAAATATCTACGATGTTTGCACTGCTGTAGGGTAGGTACATAAAGAAAATTTTTGCACCCAAGACAAAACCTAAGCATACGTACATGTTGTTCCAGAATGATATGACAAGAAATTTGGTCTATCATGGTTCAAAGTCGAACATGCAGATCTTTTTTCGGAGCCCAGTCTAATTCCAAATCATACGAGCAATCCTTCATCACCGTAATGGCGTCATTCATTGATGTTGTAAGAGTCAACAGGTACCTGGCGTTCTCTATATACATTTCTGCCATAAATCAGACTGTAAGCTAAACCTGGACTCGCAAAACATATTACAAAAGCCGACCATGACAATATCTACATTGCATGTTTTCTTCAGGCTGATTTTTGGTGACAGTAAGTTGTCGCAGGAGGAGCTCATCTGAATCGATGCGGAATCCTGGGATGAAGATAGTTGACGAGACAGGTCGGATACTATGATATGTTTACTAGTTTTGGAAGTTATTGCCAAATACCGGTCTTAATGTATCGGCTATTGAGATTTCCATTATATTGGAATCGTTACCAAAGCATGGAATCAACACTTTGGGCAATTCCATGTTCCACGGAGTTTCACCTGAGCGCTTCAGCATTCCAGATGGTAGATATGTCGTGGAATGAAAACTCAAAAACGCATTTTCTTTAAATAAAAAACATTTTTTCTGACCCCTAAAACATAGGGTGTATAGGTGTACATTAGTAAGTGTTTATTGTTCTTTTTTTATTATATTATATAATGAAGTTCAAAAAAATTTGAATTGTAAGGTGTAAAATATTATGCATCATTTTAAAGAATATAATTTTACAAAATAAAACTACAAAATTTGAGCAAAATCGGTCGAATTATTTCTGAGAAATTGAATGTCAAAAACATATTTTCAAATTTTCAGGAACAATTCAATCGATTTCGCACCAATTTTGTATTCTGCCATGTAAAACTCTTTAAAATGATGTGAAAAATTGCATATCTAAAAATTCAAAATATTTCTGACTATAAGTATTAGTAAATACTTATAGTCAATATTAATAAAAAAAATTTAAAATTTATTAAACGTTATATTTTGCATGGAATTATCTTTGTATAGGCAATTTTTATAAGCGTGTGCAACTATTTTTCAATTTGATGCAAAAGCGTATGAGATATGGTGAAATACGCAAAAAAAAAAACTAACATAAAGGGGTCCAAACTTTGGACCGCTCTCTTTTGACCAAGCTATGGGGATCATATTTCGTTCATTGTGGCTACCTTCTATATTTTAGGGGTCAGAAATCTGAATCTGGTGCAAACAATCTATGTTTATTCAGAGAAAGTGCGTTTTTATATCTGATTTCTTAACTTAAAATATCGTCTGCACTAATTAAATAACTTATTAAGATCATCCTCTCGGACTTTTAAGATTAAGTCCGAGAAACATCCTAGAAGTTATTTATGCTGATCTGCCTATTTTTTCAGCACCGTACTTAGTCTTTCTTTGTTTCTCATTCGTTTTCCTCATGTCCAGTTACGGCCCACAATCAACATGGCTTTTTTTTTTAAAAAAAAGAATGCACTTGAGTTATATAAGAAATTCAATTTTCATTGTGAGTGAAGAAAAATGGACTGATGTTTTGGCTAGTTAAATAATTAGACGGAATTTATAAATATCCATTTTACAAAAATGTGCAATGTTTTGCAAAAATACAACATACTCTGTAGATTGGTAAATTTGAAATTTTGTGAAATTCGTATACATTTTTAAAGCACGAAAATTATTCTATTATGTATATCTCCATTCAAATTTTTTTTATTTAGTTATCAATGCATTTCTGGAACTTTAGCATTTCTGAATTTAATTACTATCACCGGTTGCAAACGCTTCCTTTGCTGTATTTTCAGTTTTGGAAATGAAATAAATATTGCTTAGGTTCAATATTTCAATGTACTCAATGTTTTTACTCACGATGCTTCATAAAAAACAATACTTAAAAGGTAGCTTGATGTGACGCAATTTTTTGACAGTGGATTCAAATTTCTCATTATCAATTATTTAATTAAAGCCTAATGTAATCACATTTTGTTACGCAACTTTAAGGCTTAGTTGTATTCGTCTACAAAATTCTATTATTAAGGCAAATCATTTATGATTGTATTTTCTCAAAAAATATTTGTGTGCAGAATAGGAAATTTCCCTTTTTTAAACGTTCAAAAGAATAGTACAAAAATATATTAAATATTTTTTATAACAGTAGCTCGAAAAATGACCAAATATTTGGAAACCCAAACCAAAAAGATTTTTAAATCTAGGAGTTCCTGTGTTTTGCCTAGGATGCCAAGGATATGCTGACACTAAAATTCAAAATTAGTTACAAGGTTCAGTAAAAATAAAAAACAATATTTTGAAAATAACTATTAGATTCAACAACATCGCAAAGTTTGAGGTCAAAATTAGCATACTGCTCCATTTGTTCAAATAATAACTTAATTATTTGAACAAATGGAGCAGTATGCTAATTTTGACCTCAAACTTTGCGATGTTGTTGAATCTAATAGTTATTTTCAAAATATTGTTTTTTATTTTTTGAAATTTTTTTTCAGTTTGAAATACATTTTGTTTCACCATTGAACAGGATAATCTGCTGGTAAACTTTGTTATTATTTTTTAAACTTAGTGTTAATAGTTTTTTGTTTGCTAGGAAGTACGCAGCTAAGATTGACTTTTCAAATCATCTGTCTTTTTTAGGACACCTGTCTTTTAAAGCCTGGTTTCTTAGGATAGGTCGACGTTACAAAACGCCAGCTTGAAGTGAGCTCTAACCCCTGATTGGTCAATTTGTGAATTTGACCGCATATGCCATCGAACGCTGTGCTTGAACGATGACTGCAGTTGGATTACAACGTAATGTTAATGAAAGATGCAACGAGGGACAGCATCCAATAGGGTATTGAAATCTACCAAAGTTTTGATTTTAACATTAAACATAGATTCGTCTTCCTCTTCTTCTCCATTTAGCTAAGCTCTAATGTACTTTTACTTGGACAAGGTCATTATTTGTTCTCTATAGCACTGGTCTACAAAAGAAAATAAATACAAATTAAAAATAAATGTTTGTATACGTTGTTATTGTACGAGATAATGTCTACGTTGGACCGACTGCCCACGCTGAGCTAACAAAACAGTATTTTGCCGGCTTTAGCGGTACGTCAACGTCCCAAGAGAAGGCGCTTGTCGTAAGAAACCAGGCCTTTATATATTACAAATGTGTTCATTTGCATAATTAATGAAATTTTTACCTTTCTGCTTTGACACCTATCGGGTTCTGGAGAATGTTCCACTTTTATCACAATTTTCTTATTTGATAAGCATTCTTCAAGAGTAACATCACCTATTAGCGGAGGTGATGACGGATGTTTTACTAATGGATTATTGAAGTCTGGTAATGTGACTTCAACATCTGGCATATCTTGTAACCCTTTCTGCAAAATAAATAAACGAAACTGATTAACATAAATCCATAACGACACGAACCATTAGTACTTATGTAAATATATATTTGCTTATAGGAGGAGAAGGAGGGATGAATTAGTTTCTTGACTCTTATCCTATATTTATGATAAGATTATCACGCCTTTTATGAACAAAACAGTCTATAAATCGAGAATTTACTTTTTTACTGCTTTCAATGACTGGTTACGGCATTTGTATAAATATGCTTTCATATTATGTGTGTTAGAAAATATAAATTGTGGAGGTTAGAAGTTATGTTATATTTTTTTAGACTAACTGTAATATAAAAATTGAAACTTGTTATCGCATTAAATATTTGTATTTCGATTTTTTCTCTACCTATACCACCTGCAAATTTTCTACATTACTCCGTGTCATTGTAAAATCAATCTATTTAGTTGAATTGGATTACAATTTCAAAGAAATAGCTTGAGTTTTGTATCATAAAAAATTAATTTTTGAAATGCTTAAAGAAAGCATGTAATAATAATAATATTGAATGAACCGATTATATCAGTTAACTAGAAATACAGTAAAAAAACTATTTATACAACGTTCTCAGTAAAACAGTTTTTGAAAATAAGCATTTTACTTTTCATTGGTTGTGCAGCTTTTAAGGGCTCTAAAAACATTAGTAATGACCATAAAGACAATAGACGAATCTTGTAATATGTTATTTTTTTAAAGTACATTTTTTTAATTACACTTTCACATACATTAAAAAGAACATCTTTTAAAGTACATTTTTTTAAGGAAAAAAAAGTACATTTAATTTTTCAAAAAAATATAAAAACTGATTTTCTGATTTTGTTTCGAAGAGAAAAGTTTTGTTTCTCGAGATAAAGAAAATTATGCAAAAAGTGAAATTAATATTAAGCTATCCAAATTTGGACCACTTAATGATAATTATACTTTCAGCGTATTCCATTTTTCAAGAACCTTTTAAGCGAAAACAAAAATTTTCGCACAAAATTATAAAATTTACTTATTCTAAGACAATATCCTTCAAAAAATATATTTTAATAAATATTCATTATTATTTCTCAAGTTTTGTATTTTGACTAGTAAAATAACATTACATAAAATAATGTAAAAATGGTATGCCTCACGATTAGACTATTAAATAATAATATTATAAAGCATAATAAATACTTTTAAAAAGTTATTTTTTGCATGGATTTACCTTTGGATAAACGAATTTTATAATTTTGCGCAAATGTTTTTCAATTTGCTTAAAAAGTTCTCGTGGTATCACAGAAAATATAAGGGATCCAAGATTTGGATCCCTCACTTGACCAGACTATTGGGTCCATAAATCCAAATTGCAACAACACCTTACAGTTTTAGGGTCAGAAATCCAAATCCATCGAAAATAAGTGGTGTGGTTATTAAAATAAAATTCGTTTTTGTGTCTAATCAATTAGCATGTTTCAAATCACCCCCACCACTCATTAAGATTGAGTTCTAGAACTAGAAAATTCAATCATTAGATCAAATATTATCCAGAGTGATTCGTATTTTTTTCATACTGTACATTAATTAGCGGGAAATATCAACAAAAACTATTATACTCTTTGTCTTTCAAGAAAACTCATATATATTAAAATAAGAATGAACTATTTTCCATTATTATAATTTGCTTGCGAATCGATATGAGACGTAGAGAGTCTATTCAAGCTACACAAATATGAATAAAGAATGTAGCTGGTAAGAAATATACGAAGGTGTTTCTTCTCGTATGAGAACTTTTATTTTCCAGTTCAAATCACGTAAGTGCTAAATTATTGACCAGAAATGGGTATTCCGGAAAATGTTAGTAGTGCTGGCAAAACTCCAAGAATCCCTGCAGCTCTAGTCCTTCATTCTTCCGTGATAGGTTGGATTTTCAGGAAAAGTTATTAGAAGCATATTATTACTGGACCGAAAAATCACATTAACGAGGAAAGAATGATAGGTATGGAAATGTTAAACATTCCTATCCACTTAAGAAGTGCTCAAAATGTACTTGATGGTTGCAAGATATCTTTATAGAGAAGTTTGGGTTCTTCTCCTTCATGAAATAAAACTTGTCGATTTGTACGAACAATTTCTTTCTGATAAAGATAGAAATGTTAGATATGAAATATTCTTTTTAACATCATTTATTAAAAGAAATTTTCGATTTCTAAAGGTTTCTTTTTTGTCTGTTAGAAATGTCTATTTTCTTAAACGGAATAAAACACGGAAATTACCTATTACTTCATTACATTAAATGTTAAAGAGTTCTGAAATCTTATAAACGTTGATTATTTTTCTATAAATCGGATACATATGTTTCATGCTTTAAACAAATCTTTTTTGAGTGGATATTAATTAAAAACCTTTTATTTTCTTATTAAAATAAAATGTTCAACTGTCACAATTAAATTTTTAATTATCATAGTATAAACTAATACATGATCATACTAGTATATACTAATAAATAATACATACTTATATATGAGCTTAAGAGGGAAGCGAAACGCTCAGTTAACTTTCATTCAAATTTGGTTGTTACATATTATAATTTTCTTTATTTGAGTTGATATACAAACAATTTTGTTTGCTTGGTTGGAGAAAAAATTTTTTCCTTATAATAAGATAAGGAATAATATTATTTTAATTATATTTTTAGCTTCTTAACTATTAAATTCGTAACAAATGCTCTTTGCATTAAGGGAAGTCGATTGAATATTTTTAATTAAAATATATAGTATATTTTTCATAGCCAACATACATGAATAAAAAAGTAAATATTCAATTTTTATAAAGCGTGCACTGATGAGAAAAATGCGTAATGATAAAATGTCTTTTTAAAGTTTAATGTTTGTTAAAGTTTTGATTTTATCTGATGTGCTATGCTTTTTAATAACTCTTCAATTAATAAAATAAGAATTACCGTTGTATGAATAATTAGAAAAATGAGAAAAAAAGCAATAAACCTGATGTTTTAATTATTAAATTCACTCTTTTTCCATTTATATTTAATTTTTAAATAAAATGCATTTGAAAGCAAGTGCCAAAAAGTAAGGTTACTTTACATTTCCTTACATGTCACGAAGTATTTCTAAGAACGAGAAAATAAATGAATATGGTAAAACATAAATCTTTTTTTCAAATAATATATTACGAGAGGGTAACAAAAAAATCTTCTGATTGCAGTTGAAATTTCATGAATAAATTAAAGTCATAACTCTCATTCTTTTTGCAACTGACACCAAAAATCTATATCATTATAAAAACCAAATAGTATGTTTAAAATAAAAACCTAAAACAAATTATTTTAATTATTCTTAACTATCAAATTACCTTGAAACTCCAAGATTTCTTAAGAGATACAACACAGTTTTTGTAATTGTCCTTCATTTTTGATGAATCGGAATCTTTCGTAATTTCACAAATGCCTTCAAAATCTGGACTAGCATAAACCGCTGTAAAAAAATAATTTTTTTACTGTATTGAAAATCTCAGAGAAAGTAAAAAAGTAATTAAAAGAACTTAAGAGCAACATGGGTTGATTAATGATTTTTACTAATTTATAGTTTTATAAATTAAAACTATTAATTGTTCTAAAGACAATTTTTTTAATGAAAGGTTAATAATTTCATTGTAGAATTTTATATACAATTTATTTAATTATAAGTTAAATTAATCTAAAGTATGCAAAGAATCTTTTTATCGAAAATTTCTTATGTGTAATTTAATAAGGTGTTTCAATATTAAGAAAAATTAAAGTTCATTAGAACTTCATGATTTATCTTAAAGCAAAATAAGCTTTTAAGAATTAATTTTCAAACATAAATCATTTACAAACTGGTTAATAATTGATTAAAACGAGACTAAATTATAATTTTGATACCGACCAGGGGCCTGTAATAGTATCTTTAACAGATACAATTTCTGAAGAAAAAAAATTATCCACTTTTTCAAATATTAAAACTTCTGAACTATTAAATTTTTTTTTGATATTACTAATTTTAAGCACTCTTTTGAAGCAATCTCAAAATAAAGTAAAAAAGACAGCGTTCATTTTATAAATGTAGAAAAATTTTCCTAACATTTCCAAGTAACTTTATGTAAATTTAAATATTACATAAAACTGATTCGACTTATAAAACTTAATGTTTGCATTTTTGAACCAATGATACATGTTTCATATCAAACGTAAATTTTATTAGTTAACAAATAACGCTGAAATAATTGTGATCATAATCACGAAATTTTTTTAATTATATTACTTTGGAATATTAATAATAATGAACTAGAGAATCGTCGGAAACTTTTGATAACCTATTTCTGCCTCTGAAGTTTTGAACTGACATAAAATAATTTGCACATGCAGGGGTTAATTTCGCTTTTCCTTGTAATAAATAATAGGAGAAGTTAAAAGCAGATATTCAGGAGCACTGTGTGTGGTATAAGGGGGAAAAAGAAATGAATGGATGAAGATTAAAAAGGAAGTTTTAACGTTTATACTAACGTTAACGTTTTAACGTTTACCTTAAATGAAATGGTGCCAATTCATCATCAATTTCGCCTTACAGTTCAAAGCTTACTATTCTTTTTTTATATTTCAACTAGCTCTAATTGCGAAACTTCAGAAAATCATTATCCTAAAATATGGGATGGTGATTTTTTTTACTTTTCTCTTAAATGAATTTGTACTATTTTTCCATTTCTGTTTCTTTAGTAAGTATGTTTTTTTAAGTAGTTCCCAATATCCACATTAATTATTAACTATTAAAATCAGTAATAGTTTGGCGAGGTTTCACACTTCTATTAAATGAATTTGTACTATTTCTCCATTAATTTGGTTTTATTATGATAGCCAGTTTTTTATCCCATTTAGTAATTATTAATAAAATTATAGTCAATGTCAAATTACTGAACCAAACTGGATTTTTCAGCTATTTTTGAACTATAAAAGAAATTATGTTCATAAAACGTATTTATCAAATATTGGAATAAATCTGGTTTACATTTCTTGAATATTTCTTGCATATAATGTAATATGGATCTAATATTCATTCCGCTGAATAAAACATTTTCACCGTAATCAAAATTGTATCTGTTAAAAGGCAGCCTAATCATATGCTTTATCACTTTAATTGCATTGAAATACACAGCAAAGAAAAATAAATCCTGCACACCTCCCATCATTTCAAATTGGTATAAAATTCATATCCATATAATATTTTTATTAGAAATCAGGAAGAGGCAAAGGCTCAAAAAGTTTAATAAGAAATAAAACAACGATTAATAGAGTTATTTAATATAATTTTACGAATAATGCATTAGTTTGAATATTGGATTTATATAATATAAATCACAGTTTCTAATTTGAAAATTCTTATATTTATTGGAATAAAACAATAAATTAATTTTGTCTTTTGATAATTTATTAATATTGGAAATCAATAAATATAAAATAATGTGGACAATAGTTCGGTTCGTTTACTTACTATTATTCGGAGGCACAACATCTGGGCAAGCAATTGTGGTTTCAACTATTTCTTCGGAAGCTTTCTTCAGCATCATATCTATCCTACCATAGAAACATATTTTAGAAATCAGATCAAATAAATATTACTTACTTTTTTTATTATGAAACAATAAATAGACTATTTACTTTGATTTGTCTTCCTCAATATCAGCTGCATGAAACAAAATATTTATATTTTTAATCTAACTCATAATTTTTGAAAAATATCATGTAATATAAAGAAATAGATATACTTCCTTATACAATTTTTCAAATATCTCTTTTTCTCATTATTTGAACAATAAGTAAATATATCGGAAGCATATTATTTTAATTCATAATAAAATGTAAGCTTTGTCCACCAATATACATAATTTACTAAAATGAGTCTTAAACTACCAGGTGACTAAACAGACCTGATTAACATAGGTGTTTTGATGTTCCTTTTTTTCTTTAAAATATAAAGCAATTATAAAATTAATCATGTGATGCAATATTAAAATTTTTACTCAAGTTATATCAAGTTTACTGCAATATTGAAATTAAAATTTTGAAACATTGAACAGTTTACTAAAAGTGGTAAATTCTCTAATTGATTGACTAGATGCAATCTGGAGCTAATATGGCAATCGTGTCAAACCAACATATTTTTAATTACCATATAATCTAGAAATAGAAAGACGGTCTTGTAACTATTTATCGTTTCTAAGAATTTAAATATTAATTTTTTTTCTACCCTGGGCAGACCTTAAACTAAAAAAGTAATTTTACGAAAATTATATTTCTCAGAAAAAAAATATTAAAATAATGTCATGAGAAAACTGTAACTTATATGGTTTGTTATTAAATTTAGCTTTCATCAAATCATGAACGATTGTTAATAAAGAGGTAAATCACGTACGGACATTGTAAGTTTTTCAAAAAAATGAAAAGCGTTAAAGAGACTTTTTGGAACAAATAATATCAATTTAAAAAAAAAATCGATCAGTTCTTAACCAGAGTTTACAAATTTTTTTCAAAGCAAGAATTTAGATGGTGGTACATATACGACACCTTTCATTAAAAGCTGAGAGTAAAGTTTGTTCATTGTCAATTGTATAAAAAGATGCATCATTCAAAGAAAACAACATTTTTTAAATAATATTCTTTTTTACAAAAATGATTCAAACGATATTGAAAATGTATATCATGTTCAAATCTTGAAAATCTAACAAAAATAATGATGATGTACTGCAGTTCAAATGCTCTTAATTCGGAAGCGTAATTTTTTTTCTGAGAAACTGTTGAAGTTGAAAATAATGTTTTATCAGTATTAAAATATAGAGGCAAACTCAGTTTCATGACTCATACTTACTACGTTTCAGTTTATTCATTTTATAAAATTAATATTTTGTTCCTTTAAACGCAAAATTAGTATTTTGTTCTCTCAATCGCCCAACTTTTCAAATGTATTCTAAGTTTTTTTTTCATTACTTGCTCTTTATGATGTGTTGCAGACTATAATGGCTTAAAGACATGTGTTATTTAAATCGCTTAAAGATTTTTAACTTTTCGCAGAAATTGTTGAAGGATTTCGTATCATGGTTATATACTAAAATGTATTTATTTAGTTACTGTTAATGATTCCTTGGCATCATTTTAAATAATACTACTTGAATAAACTGGACAAATTAAATGTATTAAAGAATAATTATCAATACTTACAGCATTAATGAACACGTAACATTAAAATACATCTTTTCAAATCCAGCCAGTCAATACTTTTATAATAAATATTTCATATCTCAAAAGCTTTAAAAACGTTCGTAAAAATTAGATTGCTTTGAACACAGAAAATTGCACTGAACGACAGAATATAGTTGAAAGAATAATAAAAGCTTAACTATATGTCCTGCAACTTTGATTTCCTCCATACACTTGACTTACATTTTAACGGTCTTCTTCTACGAAGCTGAATAAAAGCTATTCCAACAACACCAATCATCAAAAGTGTACCCAGCGCGGCCAATAAAATCGCAGCAATCGGACTAAAGGCTGAGTCTAGAAATGAGAAATAAAAAGGATAGAGCTTCGGGCTTAGTCAGAGGTTTAAGCACAGCTTGACAAAAAAGCTAATGTTTAAGACTTATGTTATCGATAGATCATTGATGAATTACAAAATGTGCATTATATTTAATCAAGATTTTTTTCTTCTGATTAACATAAACAATATAGGTTGTTTGAGAAATACAAAAGGAAAATATATGTGAATAAAATATTTTTTTAAAAAGAAATCAGTAATGTTTTGGAAAACATAGTTAAATATTAAATAATCACAAGAAACTGAAGTGATAAGATTAAAAGTTTCATTCGTGATTAAAAGTTTCATTCGATTTAAAAACTCATAAAAAGTAAATAATAATCAACATGTTTTAAGCAATACAAAATGCCCTGGAATCGTGTGTTATTCATATGAATGCTGAATCCATTGTTAGCGACATTAGCTGTTCACCACTCCTCCATAGCTCGCGGAAATGCATTTTACCCTAAATCGAAAATCTCAGTCACAGTTTTTTCCGCTCTCGGCTACTGTGGTTTTTCTCGTATTATTTTTCCTTTTTATTTTTCAAATTTCAGTCGGCAACTTTACGTTTTATATTTCAAATAATTTTTGTTTCCTCTCATTCACGTCTAACAAGTCTTAAAATAAACGTCTATTTTTGAAGAGCTTGAAACACTATTCTTGAAGAGCTTGAAGCGAATGAGGCTTTTAATCAGGTAATATAGTTATATGTTAGACACTGTTATATTTTTGTCAAGCTGCATGACATTAGTAATGGATTTAATAAAATTTTACTAAAAACTATACCCTTGGAAGTTTGGTGCACATTGAAGCACGCTATTGTTCAAATTTGATTCAATTTCAATATCATATATATCGTATATTATATAAACTATAATATCATACTTATTACAATTGATTACGCAGTATAATTCGTTGTGACTGGAAACATTGTTCAAATTTATACCTTATGGAGTAAATTCCCTCTGTAGTATATTTCAAAGTATAAATATTATGGTTTAATGTTTAGATGATTTTCTAGATCATGGTTATTATTATTTCTTTTGGGGAAAGGGCTTTTAAGTAATCAGATCAATTTGAGATACAGAATTGTGCTTTTATTGGGTTTTCTGAACTATATTGAGGAACAAATCCGTGAATAGATAATAAAAAAACCAGGAACATACACGTATGATCTTCAATAGGAAGGAAACATCATTTTATAAAAAGGGCGAGCTCCTTGACTCCCATATAAGCTGATCGGATATTTCGTCACTTTATTATCGATTGTCTAGTTTTCATCCTAGTTTCATCTAGTTAATCTCCCACAATGCCATACGACGAGGTATCGAGTTGAGAAAACACTTTCGTTGTAAATTTGAAAGTTCCCACTTCGTCACAAATCATGTGATTTCGTAAAAAAGAGAAATTAACGAAATATAGTTCAATTGCTGATTCGTCAAATGTGAGAGCTTCATTTCTGAGAGTGCTTTAATAGAAATTAGTCACTTATGGAACTGATCTCTGTTATGATTATTATGCCCGTTCCATCAGATAATAGGACAGTCAATCCATACTAGTTACAAAGAATGTTCAGATTATTAGTGAGTACACTAATAACACACAATATTAATTCCCCAACGAGCGCTCATTTACTTTATATTCAAAGTAATTTAATGTTCATGGATCAATTTTTTGAAAAGGGTATACTGAATTTAAAATTGTTTTGTTTTTCCCTAATAAAATAACCACGCCATTTTATCCATAGAATATTTCCTTCCCAAGGTATTTTGACTGATTCTACTATTCTACTATATGGGCGATATATCTAACTAACAAATCGTTACTTATGGGTCTCCTTGCTAATAGCGCATTATATTTATAATAGTGTCTGTAAAATAACAATAAATAAAGATATTACAACATCATAGTCATTAAATTGACAGCATCATTTGGATTATAATAAGATACAAAAGATCAAAATTTAAAATTTTTATATTCTGATTATTTATTTTCATTCATAAAATCTTACCTTTACTTTGTGGATCAGAGTGCAAAGTATTAGCCATGATTGCCAAAGAGTTACTTTTCCCTTTTTCATTTGACGCATAGACGACAAGTACAAATGGAGTTCCCGCAGGCAAGTCTTTGACTGAAAACGAAGGTGATGTAGCAGATGTTAAATTGACTTCTAGATGATTTATTTCTGAGTTATATACATCTAAATGAAAGCTCTGTTCAAGTCCGTTACCGTGACCAGCTTCGCATTCTATTTGAAGCCAAGATTTGGACTGGTTAACAACTACACAATTACGTACGGGATCTGGTGGCCCTAAAAAGTCAAGATAGCATATATTTAAGTATTGATTGATAATTATCGATATATATAAACATAACGAATTTTATAAGACAGATTATCGTTTACTAGTAAACATATTCCCTCAGAAATTTTATTCAAATGTTTTTAATTGATGAGAAAGAGTTTTTCAGAGTTAATTAATATTAAGAAAGTTTATTATTAGCAATAGATATGTTGTTGTTGTTTCTAATGCCGATTGCCGATACCAGCAATCCTGCTTGGTGAAACAAAGCGAAATTAAGGCAGAGGGTGCGTTTCTTGTTTCCAGTGGCGCGGTTTATGGCAAAGAATACGACTTCAACCACACGCACGTCACAAATCTTTCATAGGAGGCACCGATTCATATATCCAGTCATTCATCCGCAGATCGCAATGTAGACCTGAACCAGATCACGATTTAATAGATATATAAAAGCAGATGTAGCACAGTAAGTTCGAACAATATATATATANCAGGCCGGAAGGGACAGAGTATATATATAATATCAGCGCAACAACCCCGATATTTTTTGTTAAGTATTCGTCAACATAACAGGAATAATGAGGTCATATTCTGCTCAAGCTTTTAATTAGTAATCGATGGTGAAGCAGAAGTCTCAGAGCCCCTCTCCCAATTGGAGGGGGAGAGACTGAGTTACAGTCAAATCTGACGGAGTTTAGTTGGTAAACATTATACACCAAAAAGACACGCAAAAATCATTGCTCCTCCGTTTAATACGATAATTAAAATGTGTGAAGAGGCCAGTCATATTACCTTCCCTGTATTCTTACGCCTCATCAAAATTATTCATTACTCATAGAAAATCGTTTAATCCTTCCTTATAAGGAAGTGAAAGATCTTAAAATAACTCCTCTTCTGAAACATAAATCTAATTATAATTCATTGGCATGTTTTCAGCCTTGAAGTCCCAAAATAGAATATCTGAATTTTATGAACACGAAAAAGTTGCAATGCTTTTATTAGTACAAAAGTATTAGCTTAATACACTTTAGCTGCTTGATTCATAAGAAATTATAATTTTATTTTTGAAACCTGCGAGTACCTCAGTAGTGATATTTTTAATTAATTATAAATAAATTAGAGGGTCTTCATGTACTTTCGAAACACGCGTTTAAAGAAATTAAATTGCATTTCAATGAAATCGTATTCCTCTTACGTGAGGAGATTATAATGTCTTCATTTTATGACTGATCATATAAAATCTACCATACTCAATATATCCAAGGCAGATACCTAATAAGGAGAATTTAAAAAAAAAAAAACAATATTATATATTTACTTAATATGATAGTTTTTAGAACATTTAAATTTAAAATAACATTAGTAAGGGATAGTTACTTAATAAAGAAATTACCACACGATCTTTGATAATGGTAAGCTTTGCAAAAAATAAATTTGCATAAATGTAGAGGAAAAAAAACAGGTTTCAAATTATCATCTGTTGAATTGTAAGAGTTTAAACGTCCTTTTAAAAGAGTTCGAAACAACATTATTGAAAACGAAATAGCGAAAGCTATTAAGTAGAAGCCAACATCTTAAGCAGAACGTGAATATAAATGGCTACGTAATATCTTCAAGACACAAGTCACGTATTTGGAGACACATTGTTGTTGAAGGAAAGGGGAAGGTGATAATTGGAATTTCAGGCATGAAATGTAGCTCTGTCGGAATGACGAAATTTCACGCGAATGCCTATAACTCCCTAGAGACGGGCTTGTACGGTTCGCAAAAATTTTTCCTTTTCCTTTCACCACGACTTGCAAAGAAATATGAAATACTAAGTATGGTTTCCCATATTAAATAGTACAAATGCCTGGATATTTGCTCGTGTAGCAATAAATTCAAAATGGCTAAGAATTTGATTATGCTATTTGAATCGCATTTTTCATGCAAATGTGGAAAATGTGGGAAAGTATTAAAATGAAGTGCATGGAGCAAATGCTATACTTAAAACCGTTGGAAAATATTAAACGCGACTTCTTTTTTTGCTTTTACATTGTTTAAAGCCTAATTAATGTAACGTCAATTTACACACACACACATACATATATATATAAACACAATACAATATGNGATTCCTATATATATATATATATATATGTATGTATAAATTTTTCCATTTGCATGACTTCTTTGTATTTCTAACGTTTACATATGTACACTGTTTTCGCCAAAGGAGTTGCAATATTAGCTCTTTACATTGTTTAAAAAGTATTAGTTTAAGGTTATACCTTAAGATCAATATCAGAAACCCTGTAAAACAAACCAAAACACAAATTAATTGTTATAAATTATGAGCTTCTTGCAATTAACAAACAAATTCAACGACTTGTCCACTCTCTCTCTCTCTCTCAATTTAGTTTTTCTTTAGCTTCTTTTTATTTTAAAGCTACTTTGTATAATTATTATGTTTTAGGTGAACATAACAGACATGCAAATCTATGCATAAATTTAAAAAAAAAATCTAACCAGAATATTTTAGATTTTTTTCAGAAGTTTATCGGGTGCCTCGTTTATCATTATTTAGCAATATAAGTGTTTAAAGAGAAAAAAAAACTGAAACAAACTGCAACAAAATTGAAACTCTCTAGAGCTTACACAATTGTAGTATTTGTAGTTTCATCACGCGAATACTTTTATTGTATTTTAATGCTGACAACTTTTTCGAACAGCTATAAAGAAAACTGCAGCTCCCTTCAAATCGCATTATGTGAAGGAAGTTGAACAGGAAATTTACGTTCAGTGACCCAGTGGCCAGTTTTCTTTTTATTTTCCACAACATTTTCAGTTTTTCTCCTATTTTGTGACAACTGAAACTATCCCTTTTGGCCTTCAGAAATAAAATGATTTATTGAAGAAATTTTCAAAAGGATAAAGAAAGAATATTTTTATTATGAAGGGAGAGAATTTTGAAAATTTTTATCTGTTGGCAAAGACTGAGCCGTAGAATTCTTTTTAATGTAGTATTATTCATTTTCTTTTAAAGTAGTTAATTTCAAGCGGACTATCTACAAAAAAACTTTTAAAAAAAGTATGCACTAAAACCACTTTATAGAACATACATATTTTCCTATCTGCATAATGTTTTTTTTCCAAAACTTAAATATTATGAATTATTAGTAGAATATTAATATTTTTAATTAAAATTTTAATGTTTTCACGTTAAACCCAATCTAAAATATCTGCATTTAAAATTATGAATGCATTCCCTATGAATGAGTCCTGGATAGGCAGTCGAAATGTCGTTCATAGAAAGTATTGTTTTGTGCCTATTAAAAGCAATTTTAATTAGCATTTGTTTTAAAAAAAAGGCCGGTTAACTTGTAATGTAAGCTTTACTACATAAAAGTTTGAATCGTCTGTTTTAAATCAGATGAAATATCATGTTTTATGATTTACCTATATATGCATTTTGAAGTTTTAAAATATTTTATTCCTTTAGGAAAAAATAACTGATTCACTTCTTTAAAGGTGATAGGTGATTATTATTTAAAACGTTATTAAAGCTTAATACATTTGAAACAATATTTTACTTTCTTTATAATGTTTGTAAATAATAGTTGCAAAGCCGCACTAATTCAAGAACGGATTTATATTGTTTGAAATCCTGGGGATAAGCTTATTTGAAGACAATTTTGTAGGCAATATTTTTAAAAATATGCCATTTAAAAAAATAAATAAATACATTGTTTATAAACATTGTTTTTTCTGAGCATAATCATATACCAACTATTAATTTTCAAAAAAAATATTAACTTTTCAAAATAAATAATTAACTGTAATTCAGTGATCACTGCTTTATTTAGTTACATGAACACGCATGTCAGGCCGGAAGGGACAGAGGCCTATTATCACCATAGTTAAACATAAATGTTAAAGCATAGAAAAATTCTCTGGTTACTAAAAATATTATGCAAATGAATATTACTTAGATACCATGGTTAAAATTTGTTATTTTTTTAAACTATGATTAAATTGGATAAATTTACAATAATTTTTTACAGCCCACTTATCTAAAATACATGAACTGAAGTTAATGATCATATGTTTAAAATAATTATCGTTAAAACAAATCATATTTCATTAGCCTCTGTAACAGATAGTATGTGCAAAAATAGCAACGCGAGCACTCGCTTTTATAAAAATGTGTTATTTCCTTCAAAATAAAGAGAATTTTCCTAGAAAATGAAAGCTTATTTCTTAGGGCTTTTCTAGGAAAGCTTGAGAATTAAATAGCAAATAGGTATGAAAGTGACCTTCGGAGCACTATGCAAAAACGGGATTAAATTTGTGCAACATTTTTTCAACGGTAGGGCCCGAGAAGCTCCGTGTGCATTTCCGGTCACTTGTGACCAGAACCCAATCACTTCATATATATATA